ATTCAACTTCTTCCTGGTTTAGTCTTGGGAGGGTGTATGTGTCCAGGAATTTATCCGTTTCTTCTAGAGTTTCCAGTTTATTTGCATAGAGTTTTTTTATAGTATTCTCTGATTGTAATTTGTGTTTCTATGGGATCAGTGATGATATCCCCTTTATCATGTTTTATTGTGTCTATGTGATTCTTCTCTATTTTTTCATTAGTCTGGCTAGCGGTCTATCTATTTAGTTAACTTTTAAAAAAATAAAAACCTGCTCCTGAATTCATTAATTTTTTGATGGGTTTTTCATTTCTCTATCTCCTTCAGTTCTGCTCAGATCTTAGTTATTTCTTGCCTTCTGCTGGCTTTTGACTTTGTTTGCTCTTGCTTCTCTAGTTATTTTAATTGTGATGTTAGGGTGTCAATTTTAAATCTTTCCTGCTTTCTCTTGTGGGCATTTAGTGCACTTAAGAATGTCTAATAGGCTGGGTGTGGTGTCTCATGCCTGTAACCCCAGCACTTTGGGAGACCGAGGTGGGTGGATCACCTGAGGTCAGGAGTTCGAGACCAGCCTGGCCAACATGGTGAAACCTGTCTCTACTAAAAATACAAAAAATTAGCGAAGCGTGGTGATGAGTGCCTGTAATCTCAGCTACTTGGGAGGCTGAGGCAGGAGAATTGCTTGAACCTGGGAGGTGGAGGTTGCAGTGAGCAGAGATCGTGCCATTGCACTCCAGCCTGGGTGACAAGACCAAGACTCCATCTCAAAAAAAAAAAAAATGTCTAATAGAGTTCTACAGTTTATTATATACTACCTTTTAAATAAAACAAGAAAACAATTGTTTGTGGATGACAAATATTTTAGGACAGCCACAGTTAAAAACACGATTGACAAAAAAAAATTGGTTACCTTTGTGGCATACATGATTTTATGTAACAATTATAATTATTATAACATACACTAAGTCATGTTAGAATTATAGGAGTTTCCCATAATTTTGGAACATAAACCAATAACATTTATACAAATATAGCCCAAAGAAAACCAAACACCATTTCATATTTGACAATGCTTCCTGTATGATTTTTATACCAAATAAGCCAAATGTTACTGTTGCATTAGTTCATTATTGATGTCAAACCCAATTTTAAATAAAACCTTATAGATAAATCTATTTACCTTTAATCAGTTTGAACATAAGGTAAGATTTTTATAAGGCTTTTACAACCCTTTACAAATTTGTGTTAAAGAGCAGATTACACACAGGTTTTTGCTTTAAGAAAAACCTGTTTCATTTTTATTCCAATGTTCAGTTCACAGAAAAACTGAATACCCCTTTAACTTTAGCCAATATTCTGTGTTTACACACAGAATTTCTTTTACAATTTTTTTTTTCACAAACCTTCCACAACTTGCTTAAACCTTTAGTTTTATCCTAACTTAAAACAATCCTTTAGCCCTTTAGGCAAAAAACTTCCCCACATTTCCATGCCTTTTTATAATCTTTAACCAAAAACATATTTTACTTTTCTTACACACTTTGAGTGTATAACTATTTGGTTTTTTGTAGTCTTAAGCACATGTTACACTGTTAACTTTTAGCAACTTTTGGTAGAAACCTTGGTAAGTTTGGGATTTTAATTATATATTAGGTGTGGAGCCTAGGACCCAGACAGAAGTGCAGATAAGGTTTGACTCTTTTCAGCATCCACCTCCATGTGTTCCAGGCCTTACCTAGCTGTAAAGAGAGCAAGTTGTACAGTTAAGAGTCATAGTGGCATTTTTTTTTTTATTATTTCTCAATTGCATATATTTAGTTTTCATTTCTACAGAGAGGTCAACAAAGTTTTGTGAACTAAATTGTGTAAGTTTGTTTTTTTACCAAAGGACTTCACAGAGAACAAGACAAAGAGTAAGAAACACAACAGCAAATTTCCAAAAAATTCAAGTAGAATCAAATTTTGACTACAGATTTGGTCAAATTCGTGCTAAACAGCCTCTTTAACAACATTATTATCCAACTGACTTATATAATTTGCTTTTTAGTAGACAAATACATTGTTTTAAATCTTAATTATTTTTTATTATAAAATACGTGTTTAGTGTAACAAATTCAAATAATCTCTTAGGAAGATAAAGTAAAATAAGGGGCCAGGCGTGGTGGTTCATGCCTGTGATCCCAGCACTCTGGGCGGCCAAGGTGGGTGGATAACCTGAGGCCAGGAGTTCGAGACCAGCCTAGCCAACATGGTGAAACCCCATCTCTACTAAAAATACAAAAATTAGCCAGGCGTGGTGGCGCACGCCCCCATTTCATGCTACTTGGGAGGCTGAGACGTGAGAATCACCTGAACCCGGGAGGCGGAGGTTAGAGTGAGCTGAGATTTGTGCCACTGAACTCCAGCCTGGGCGACAGAGCAAGACACTGTCTCAAAAAAAAATAAATAAATAAGAAGAAGGACGTCCACCACACTGTACCTACCAAAATGCCCATTCCCCAAAGACGACTGTTGTTAAACGATTAGCGTACCTTTCCTGATTTTTTTTCTTTTTTTTTTTTTGTCTAAGCACATTTAAAACCCAAGACTTTTGGTTTTAAGTGATTGCTCTGAATCTCCTTTAGGCATGAAGTACAGGAAATTATATTTCTGCAGCAAATTCAGGCTCTGCAACATCAAGTGTGGATTCACTGGAAATTATTTGAAGTAACACTTAGAGATCATAATAGCCAAAAAATGTTGAGAAATGAGAAAGGGTAGGTTTCTTTATTTAAAATTTTTTTTTTTTTTTTTTTTTTTTGTTCTTTGCTCCATCACCCAGGATGGAGTACAGTGACGGGATCGCAGCTCACTGAAGGCTCAAACTCCTGGGCTCAAGCAATCCTGCCTCAGCCTCCCAAGTAGCTAGGACTACAGGCGTGCACCAGCATGCCCAGCTAATTTTTTAATATTCTGTAGAGATGGGGTCTCACCATGTGCCCTGGCTGGCCTCAAACATCTGGCCTCAAGCAATACACCCACCTCAGCCTCCCATAGTGCTGGGATTACAGGCATGACCCATCACACCCAGCCAAATAAAAGGCTTTTTGAGGAAGTATGATCAGAAGAAAATGGAATGTGCTTGAAAGAGCTCTAAAGGGCCACGGACGTTCTGTTCTCTATAGAACAGAACATGAAGTAGGGACAGGTTCTTTTTAAAAGCACTTGACTTTGGAACAAAACCCAAATTGTCCTCATGATTTCATCCTTTGACATTATGTTCATTTTGGTTATCTTAGTCTTTTCTCAGACTTCACAGATAATTATCTAAAAGCCCCTGGCTAAGTTAATGCTTATGACTGTAGTCACAAATGGATGGCTTGGATTTTATTTGTCTTGCAGTATTTGTAAATTTTTTGATGTATACTCTTACTGCCAACTTACATACTCATATGTATATGGATTGTATGTGTATGTGTGTGTATGTATATATATATAGTCCCCAAATTTAAAAACCATAATTTGGACATTTTTTTCCACACAAAAAATCAGAAAATTGGTAACACTCTGCCCAATTTCCACATAGCAACAATTTAGACAGGCCATGAGCTCTCCATATGGCCCTGATCCCACCACTCTTGTCTCAAACAAATCTAGTCAGTCGTACGTATATTATGTATGTATATTGCTGTGCTTCTCCTTCCTTCCTGACTCTGGAAGACTCCTGTCTCAGTCTCTCTCAACATGTCTGAAGGACTCAGGGGCAAGTGTCAGAGGTGTAGGCCCTAGTCTGGGTTTAATGTCCGGGGCCAGCTTGAAACAGCAGCTAGTATTTTGAGCTCTAAGCTAACACTCTGGACTTTCAGTCATGTGTTCTTTCCCCAGTGAAATAGAAAAGTTTGATTTCAAAGAGGCAAAGTATGCGACACCTGCAACATACATAAAACCTGTTTCGTTTTACTCAGGAGTAGGAATCAGGAAACCTGGGTGCTATTTTTGACTTACTTTGGTTAGAGAAGGGCAATTAAGCTGTCCTTACGTTTCTTACCAAATGAGGAAAATACTGTGGTAGCTCACAGCAATTTGGGGAGTTTTAGAGTCTATGGAAAATGGAAACGCTATTTGTAACTTAGATTGAACATTGAAACTTGTGTTTGTTTTTCAGGCACTTTTGGAACTTAACTGGATGTTTCATGTGTCTAGTAATCGGCTGATAGTAGATATTATTCTACCCCTATATTGGGATGCGAAATAGCAGAAGTCATACAGTCTATGCTGGTACTTTCAGCAAAGACTTTACCACAGTAATCAGTTCATGAAACTCTGTGTTCTGAAAGTGGCCATGGTCAGTGAATTTGTGCAATTTGGTTTCCAACCTATCGGCCACTTCTTGTTGTTCCTTCCAGGGAAGGAATGGGTCATCAGTGGAGCCAAACTGCACAACGTAAGGGCAGTTGGCCTTGATCTTCTCCCACTGCCAGGGGCGGGTGAAGTATCCACTTGCACGCTCATTTTCATCCCCCAAGTCTGATGTGTATGCAGACACTAATACAATAGCATATACTCGATGTTTTTCTGCATACCTCATGGCTGCGATGGCCCTAGAACTGTGGCCGATAATGATGGTCTTCTCATCACAGTGCAGCTCTGTCTCCATGAAGGGCAACCAGATGCTCTCTCGTGCTGTAATTGGGTCGGGCATGTTTTTAGCCAAACACTGGAAACCAGGTATTTTCTCCAGCTCCTTTTTCACCCAGCCATACCAGCCGTGGGTGGTCACATCCCCGCCTCCGTTCCCGGGAACAATCACTGCCTTGCTAGGAGAAGCCATGAGTGCAGCGAGGCCAGAGTCCTCTCAGCACGGGTCCAGGAGCCATACTGGCATTTTATGAAGCATTAAGTAAGCCTACTCACCTTTAAATTGTGCAATATTTCTTGTATAAATTACTTTTTATAAATTCTTTTATGACATAGACCATTTACAGCATGCAAAGACTTTTTGACTTGTCCTAAACATTTATTTATTTTTTTTTTAACAACAAGTTATTTTACTTTAGGCCAAGGTTGTACCATGAGAGATCCTTTCTTATATAAAATATATTTTCTTTATAACCTTCTTTGCATAGTTAGGGGGCATGGCTAATTCAACATGCCCCCAGATTTTATTTGCAATTTAATGCTCTGAAATAGGTAAATTGAATAATTTTTAAAAGTCAAAGATGCAGTTTATGACCTTAAAGCATTTAGCAAATCTAATATCTCACCTGCATAATTTAGACCAAATATTTACATTTTTGAAGATATTTTTATTTTGCCAATAATTTTTTAAACTGTCTTTTTCCAAAGTATTACTTAAGTCACATGAACTAAATAAAAGGCATTAATCTTTTTACTTTTCTGACAAAATATTTTATTTAAGCACTTATTATTATTAAACCAATTTATCAAAGCTCTCTTGTATATAAACATTACATAGACAACACATATAAATATGCAGACAGACAGAAAGTAAAGGATTCATTCCCTAAGTCAGGAATTAGGCCCTAAACCTGGGTTGCCATTGTGAAAGGAGAAAGCATAGCCAAGTGATTACAAAGTCAAGCTCCCAAGGACATGACTGACCAGTTTCCTGGACCATCTTGAAAAGTGGGTTTATGGGATCCTAGTCACACATTCTATTCTAAAGTACCCCTCATTATGACAGAACAATATAGAAAAACACATAAAGCACACCAGATTCACTGGAGCTTAAGATTAGCCTCAAAAATCCTTTTTTCCATTAAGCAAAAACTTTACAGAGGAGATAAACAGTGATTTTGCCATTCATTCAACCAATTTGCACAGAGAGAGGGATAGAGTGGGGCCAGAAATCTGACTTTGGGTAAGTGGTGGGGTACCCAGGTAAAAAATGGGATTGGGTTATAAACCCAATCTGGTAAGAAATTCTTACCCTTTTGCCAGCATGACAGGCTTCTGGATTTCCTTTCCCTGAGTGGCCCTAGTGACCTGGCTTGCTGTACCATAGCCCTGGGGGCCAAGCTGCAACACAAAGTGAAATTATCTTTTTCCATTCTGGCCAGAGCAAAATACTTGTGAAAAGACATAGACATTAGCCACTCTGCTTAGCACCCAATATTAATCTGGCAAAGCTCAAACTTGCCCCCAGTTGGGCCCCATAATTGTTAAACTAATCTCTGACCAGGAGTTTCAACTTGTGCACTCTGGACAAGATGGTCACCCTGAGTAAAAGAAAAGATAGGAAAGAGAAAGGAGAGAAAGAAACGTATAGCCTGTGGCAGGGTGGGGAAGGTGAAGAGCTCAGGGAAGCCAGAGAAAGACATACCCATTGCAGCGACACCAAATCAAAAGTTTAGGGAGCTCCTTGTTGGTCATGAAGGGATTATTTCCAACAGTCCCATCAGCCCTCAAGTTTCCTTTTAGTGAGGAAAAAGTTCCCCATGTCCCACCATCCTGTACATGCCTAATCCTATTACCCACAGCTGTTAGCAAGGAGTGCAAGGCAGATTATTCCAAAGAGAATAGCAGTTAACATCCCTTAGTGCCAAACCCGTTCTTAGCCAAAAGAAAATGTACTGAGAGGGACCTCTATCCCCACTGAATCTTACGAGGGACTCTAGCCCTTCTAAGTTAGGCCTCTAACCCAAGGTCAGTCAAGCATGCTTGCTTTTTATTAAGAGGGGTCTCTAACCCACTCTGTCTTAGGAGAGACTCTTAACTCCCCTAAGTTGGGTTTATAACCCAATCCCATTTTTTACCTGGGTACCCCACCACTTACCCAAAGTCAGCCAATTAGTGCTTTGGGTTGGGGAGTTTCTTCAGTACTGTCCTTTCAGGGTTCACTAGAAAGATATTACTGGACTCCACCACTTATACAAAATTAGTCTTTGAGTTGGGGATTTTCACACTATAATCCCTTTATAGCCACCGAAAAGATGTTACAGGAAAGGGGCCCAGATCCAGACCCCAAGAGAGGGTTCTTGGATCTTGTGTAAAAAAAAAATTCAGTGTGAGCTTATAGAGTAAAGTAAAAGCAAGTTTATTAAGAAACTAAAGGAATAAAAGAATGGCTACTCCACAGACAGAGAAGCCCTGAGGGCTGCTAGTTGTCCATTTTTATGGTTATTTCTTGATGATATGCTAAACAAGGAGTGGATTATTCATTCCTCCCCTTTTTAGAACCTATAGGGTAACTTCCTGTTGTTGCCATAGCATTTGCAAACTGTCATGGTGCTAATGGTAGTGTAGCAATGAGGGCGACCAGAGGTCACTTCTTGTAGACATCTTGGTTTTGGTGGTTTTTAGCTGGCTTCTTTATTGCAACCTGTTTTATCATAGAGGTCTTTATGACCTGTATCTGTGCTGATCTCCTATTTCATCCTATGACTTAGAATGCCTTAACCATCTGGGAATGCAGCCCAGTAGGTCTCAGTATCACTTAACCCAACCCTTATCCAAGATGGAGTTGCTCTGGTTCACATGCCTCTAATACCCCTAAACCTAAAATATATCATGTGCCTAAGATAACAGCATTACTTCTTTACCACATCCCAATGCAAGTTTCCAAAATATAATCCAGCATTAACTATGAACTTGGTTGAAAACATTTTTTCTGAGGCTCTCTGAGTATTGGTACTTTGAGTCTGTTATACTATAGAGGAAAATTACCAATTCAGGAAGTAAAATTTTTTGTGAAACCCTCTCTAAAAAACCTTCCCTCTCATCTGAAGAATTAGAAAATATATCAAAACTAAAACCAGTATGCCCTTCATTAGTACAATGGGGCTTTTCTCCTGTTTACAGAAGTCCAAACATCAGGACAATGCTATTTTTTTCAAGGCATAATTGCAAACTCAAGTCTCAAATTTATGCCTTTTTACACCTTTGGCTATGATTATAACATGCTGTGAGCAATGAGTCACAGTGACCTGATAAATGGTTACTTTGCCTGAACAACAGTGATTTCTACAACCATTTTTAAAATGAAGAGGCAAACTTGCTTTTCCAGCTGTTTAAAAATCAATTACAAGACATTATTAAAATAGCTAAAAGCATTTTATCATCTATAATTTGAAAAAGAATGTCCTAAAATGCCATATATACTTAAGTAAAATTTCAGGCCTTATTCTCTACTGAGTAAACCATACTGGGTCTCTGCTATTTTTTGAATGGTGTCATTGTAATGCCTCCTGAACCTGTATGTTGGAGATTAAGATTGCCCTACCCAAAGCAGTTATTTCACTCCAAGCTTTATATAGTTAAGAATTATTTTATTTACTCTAAGTTTCTAGCTGATTATGACTTTTTCACTAGTAAACTATTCCATTCACATGTACAATATAAATAAAGATACAATTTTATTATTCCTTTGAGTTTCTCTATGGATAGTTTCCATCATTTTCCATTCACAATTAGAAGGAAAAAAAAGAGTGATTTATCATGTGGCATAACATTGTTGGTCAGCTGAAATTACCAAGTACATATTCCTAGTCCTGAGCACATGACTTAGTTTTATTAATTTTCCCTTAGCTTTTCTCTTCTAACAGAGATTACCAGCTTTTGCAATGTTTTAGTCGAGGATCATTGGTAATTAAATATGATTATTAAGTTCACTCCATTTTCCCTCAAATGTTATCTCACACACTTGGTGCAGCTAAAATATGGTTTCTGAAACAGTTCACATTCTATAAAAAACATTTAAGTTATTAAAATTTTGGCTCAGATAAGAAAATTTCATGAGATCGCATTTCAAACTGTTCTAAATATTCTAAATGAAAATACCCTATACGAAAAAGTAAATAATACCTTTCCGAAATAAATCACATCTGTATTAATCTGTTTTCCCATTGCTTTAAAGAACTACCTAAGACTGAGTAGTTTATGAAAAAGGGGTGTAATTGACTCGCAGTTCCACAGGCTTAACAAGAAGCATAACTGGGAGGCATCAGGAAACTTACAATCGTGGTGGAAGAGAAAGGGAAGAAAGGACCTCCTTCACATAGCAGCAGAAAAGAAAGACTGAAGGGGAAAGTGCCACACACTTTCAAACAACCAGATGTCATGAGAGCTCACTCAATATCATGAGAACAGCAAGGGGGATGTCACCTCCAAGATTTAATCACCTCCTACCCGGCCCCTCCCCTGACATAAGGGAATTACAACTTGACCTGAGATTTGAATGGGGATACAGAGTCAAACCATATCATTCGGCCTCTGGCCCTACCCAAATCTCATGTCCTTTTCACATTTCAAAACCAATCATGCCTTCCCAACAGCCCTCAAAGTCTTAATTCATTCCAGCATTAACCCAAAAATCCAAGTCCAAAGTCTCATCTGAGACAAGGCAAGTACCTCCCACCTACAAGCCTGTAAAATCAAAAACAATCTAGTTAGTTCCAAGACACAATGGAGGCACCAGCATTGGGTAAATGCTTTTATTGCAAATGGGAGAAATTGACCAAAACCAAGGGGCTACAGGTCCCATGCAAGTCTGAAACCCAGGAGGGCAGTCATTAAATCTTAAAGCTCTAAAATAATCCCTTTGACTCCATGTCTCACACTCATGGCATGCTGATACAAGGGGTAGGCTCCCAAGACCTTGGGAAGCTCCACCCCTATGGCTCTGTATGGTACAGACCTCACAGCTCCTTTCATGGATTGGCATTGAGTGCCTGCAGCTTTTACAGGTGCACAGTGAAAGCTGTTGGTGGATCTACAATTCTGCGGTCTGGAAGATAGTGTGGCCTTTTCCTCACAGATCTACTAGGCAGTGCTCCAATGGGGACTCTGTATGGGGGCTCCAACCTCACATTTCTCTCTCTGCACTGCCCTAGTAGAGATTCTCTA